TTATTTTTTTTAAAAAATAGACCTCAGATACAAGTTCTTAAAAAAGAACTGGATTATTCTAACTTTTTTTTTTTTTTCTCACCAGGGTTTTTTCCCCTGGAACTATGTACACAGCAGGACTGCTCCAAATTGTATCAAATACCATAAGAAGAATTCAGCTCCCTTTAGGCATTTAACATACTGCAGGCAGCATGGAACAGAAAGCTAACAAGGTTTCCACCAAGTCAGTCATTGGGAGAGATTGTCAGATGGCATAATGCCTGAAAGAGTATTGTAAAAAAATACCAGGGTTTAGATGTCAGTCTTGCAAAATTACAAATAACAAGCAAGTGGGTGACAGAACAATTTCCCATTTCCTTGATGTCTGTGGTAGCACAATTCTTGTAACAATAGCACCCATGAAACTGCTTTAGAAAACATGAAATAAATTTGTATAAATCCTCCTTTGTAGCTCACCCTCCCCTGGGTCAGGAGCAATTTTTCTCATTCACCATCTTTCTCACATCGCTTCCTTCTTAAAATGCATTTTGATGTCTGTGCTCCCTGAAGCACTGAGGGGAGTGGGACTGAGGGTCATATACTGTTATTCAGCACAGCCATGCCCTTTCCCTGTCCCCATCCCTCTGACAACCGGTGGAGCAGCTCAGTAATGCACAGTGCCTTTAAGAAAAGGCTGTGCTAAAATATTTATTTTTGTCTCAGAATGTGTAAACACTGATTTTCATTGCAGAGCCCAAACAATTTCCCTCCCCTCCAGTGCTGTCAGTATAGTTTATGGATCTCATAGTTGATTATGGAAAAGTCACAAGTGATACAATCTGCAGAAGTAACCCAAACCCATTCCTTTCATTCCTCAGACTCTACAGGGAGAATAGGGCACAAATTTCATGTGCTGAGGAAAGACTTGTATATTCATGAGGTACATATTAAACAAGAAAGTGCTCCTCAGAGGCTGAAAAAACACCCAGATGACAAGAATTTACGTGCCAAGAATCCTACCTGATTTTCATTACATTCTGCTAGGAAAAAAATACAGAAAACAACAGTATTTATCACAAGGTATTAAAAGGACCTCTGCTGTTTTTCTCACATGCTGTGTTAGTTTTTGTAATTTAAAGTGAATAGCTATTAAAGACAATTAATGAGCACGAAGGAGTAACATTTGCAAAGTGTTGATTAATTGCTTCTGAACTGATCTGGCTTCTAAAATAAACTCTCTTTGTATCCATACAATAAGCACAGTCATGGAAGAGTTCTCTGATTGGAGAGTGACTTGCAGTGTGCAGTGTAGGGCTGAAGCTGCTGTTTCTTCTTTCATGTAAGGCACAAAAAATCCTGGAAGATTGCTGTGATGGCTGCTGAAAATTTCTAAATAATTTCTAAATAATTTCAAATAATTTCAAGACAATTGAGATGAGCATTTTAACAAGGCAGAGGGGCTACAACTACTGTAGGATTTTTTTTCTCTGATATTTCATATCCCTCAGTATTATTCTTCGTAGCATGATGTTCTCGACTTCGTTTTTGAGGGCTTTGCTTTAGAAAGCCCTTTGTTCACAAATATGAGCTAGTCCTTATGTGTAGCCAGAGGAATAAAGGTCTTCTGTTCCGAAAGCAGCCTTGTGTCCTATGCCATGCTGTTTTATTTGAAATCTGAAATTGGAAGACATCTGGTATTGTTAACTCTTCTAATCTTACTATAAAAGGCACGTAAATAAACAGTTCCTTATTTGCTTCTCTGGGTACACTTAGTTGTCTTGGAGTTTGTAGGGATTCAGCATGGAAGGGGCAGATGGGTCAACCATACCAGGCTCTGCTCCATCACAGAAGTCTGTATACAACAGACAAAAAACAAGGCAGATACACTTAATACCCTCCTAAGAGAAAGCCCATGAGGTGTAGTTGCTGCTGTAGTTTGCACTGTCAGACATGAATACATCCTGGTATTGCTTCACAGTCCTGGAAATGGGGGTTAGTAGACAAAGAGGGTAAGGCTTCGCACAAGGAAGAACTCATGGCTGCCATACTGAGAGCTCTGGAAGGCAGAGGCAAGGTAAGGACAAGGGCGGTATCAGTAACACTGTCCTAACCTTTAACAATGCTGTTTTAAAAGCCTTTGTCGGCCCAAGCCTTGAGACAAAGGACTCCTCCTTCATTCTGGAAGACAACTTGCCCAAAGGCATCCATCTCCCAAAGCAGACTTTGTAAAAGCACAAAATAACAAACAAGGAGAAGATAACCTTGAAAACAAAAGAGACTCAGATTTCAGTTGCTGAGGGGAGGTAAAATCTCCTTTGTGTTCTCCACCCTGTCAGGCTGGTCCTTCTCTGGGCCAGTTCTGCAGTTTTTTCAGTGATACCCTGCATTAAATAAGCAATAAGCACCCTCCTCAGCCCCCAGAAGGCATGAGGCTGTGCTAGAGGTCTGCACCCAGAGCAAATCAGCGTGCCCTGCTCTGGTTTCAGGGCTCCTGCTTGCTGTGAGCCCCCCTGCCTGCCCCAGCCCACCTTCTGGAAGATGAACATGTCCAGCCAGCTGCAGGGAAAGTGCCACTTCCCCTGTCCTCCATGGGGTCCCCTTGACTGAGCATGCTGCAGCAGGGATGGGGTGACAGAGCAGTCTTTCTTGTCCTCCCACTTCTGCTAACTGGCTATATGTCTTACCTTCTTCTCTTGTAATCTAAGGCCCTTTAGCATGCCACCAGCAGAGACTGCACATCGTACAGCCTCAGAGTTTGTAGATCTGGGACTAAGAAAGACATTGGAGAGATTTCTAGACTCCCTGTCACTTAAAGGTAATACAAAGTCTGTCTAAAGAGTGCTCCAGACACACTGAAAGAAGGATTTCTTCTTCAAACAAATACTCCTTTGACATACAGATATCTAGTTATGGTTCCTCTCGTGTTCACTTAACCCACTAGCAATGCTTAAGCTCCCAGCCCTACATGTTGTGTTGCACCTTCCAATAGCCTGTGTGCCCTCACCTTCCATATAAAGTCAGTGAAGACCAGGATTGGTGGGGGGTCCATGCCCTTCTCATCTCCTCAGGTTGCTGCTTTGGATGGTGGGGTAGCTACTTGATAACAGTGCCCCGCATATCATCATCTATGATGTGATGATCCCCACGTTTGCCCTATGGCACTCTCTGTAGAGATTTCTCCATTTTTCTCTGCTCACACCTCATGGACTGTACTCTGACCAAGAATGTGTTGCCATCCCCGAAACTTACCTGAAACAAAACTGCAGTTTTACAAAACTGTCTTTTTTAACTCAGTAATTTATAAGTACAATTAGCAAAGTTATTATGTCATTATCACTGTAATGTAAATATAGGGATTGCATTCTCTTCACATGGGGACATCTGTTGTTGCTGTATTAATTCTGAATAGCAGAGGGCACCCTTCAGACTTTCAAATTAGTAAAGAAAAGACTCATTGTTATGGGTTGTATGTTGTAAATTTTCACAAGATTTTCCTTGGCCTGCTGCCATGCTGGAGCTATGCAGAGTGCCACAGAGCACAGGAAAGGACTTTGGGCACAGCAGACTGGCACTGGCAACTGGCAATCCATTGTAAGGTGGTGCACAAGCACGCCATTCCAAAATGAGAAAGAAAACCATGCAGGGCAGAGAGCAGTAAATTAAAGCTCTGATGATAAAGATACATGGAAAAGGGGATTGCCTTTGGTATGGACAGTATTTGGACATGCCACCTGGGAAAAATCAGTAGGGTTTGTGGGGTACAGAGATGTTAGGAGTGGACTGCCTATGGTAAGCCAGCTAATCAGGACTGGAGCATTTTTTGCATAAATAGAAATAAGAGAGAAAATCAATACCAATCCAAGCTAAGGTACAATGAGAATTTAACTTTCTTTAAAATACTTGTGAAGAATACAGGAAAAGAATAATTTACTACTCTTGCATATATTTAAGTGACCTTTACATATTTGAACATCAAAAGGGTGCTATACATGAGATTTTCAGAAAAGTTCTTCAGATAAACATGGCAACAGCGACTGTTTTATCATCTTAAGCATCCTAGGTGATATGCTAGAACTTCAATTTTATCAGTTAAAGGACAGCTGTCTTGCTGTTTGTCAGTCTGTGATCATTCAGGCAGAGCTGGGGTAGGAGCCTGTTTAATAGCTGCAGCTGTATCTTGTCCTGTGCAACAGGAGATGCTCTTCTGCAGCGTTATTGCAAGGAAAGTAGGGTACCTCCTGCCCTCCTGACTCTGTTCATGCTACCAGCTTCCTTTCTGCTCATTTATCAATCACCCAATGTACTAAACTGATACTGGGGAGGGAAACAGAAAAAGTCACTACTGAAGAAATTGTTAGAAGCAACTCATGTTTATTTTCATCTCAGCAGGGTAGTAGGTTTACTCCTTCACTGCTAGTTACACAGTGATGTAACACTGGGAGCCATGCTCCAGTTTCCTCCAGGTACAAACATAAAGCACAGAATAATTTAGGTTAGAATGGACTTCTGGATGTCATCTGATCCAATCAGTTGCAAAAGCAAGCCAACCTCAAGCTTCAGGCTAGGTTTCAGCCTTGGTATATGTCACCAACGTTCACAAGAGAGAAATTAACCCAGAGCTTGCATGAGCTCACAGATTACAATCCCATCTCTCCCTAGGATTTCTGATGCCAGGTCAGCATTCCAGTGACAGTGCCCAGATACCCCTGAAAATGACTGAGAGAGACTTAGAGAAATCTCTCCTTCCTCTTCTCTAGCACTTTGAAGTTCATCTACCACTGTCTGATGGCTATGAATATGAACATCACTGGTGGGATCCTGAATGGAGCCAGGAGCAGCACTCAGGTCTCCTGTTGCAGGTGCTCATGCCAGGGCTTCGTCTGCAGCTGCATTCATGCACTACTACAGCAGTGAGGAGCACAGCCACGCACTCTCAGAGAAGCTTCCTGAGTCACCTGCACAGGGACCAAGGCTTAGCACAGCTCTCCAAAGGATGCTTCCTAACACAAGGTCCACAGAGATCACTGAAGAGATTTCTCGCAGATCCATGGGGCAAGGACTTCACAGCTGGAAGCACGGATGGCACCTTCCAGCAGAACGGCGCAATTCTGCGCAGGGCTGTTGGTCAGGACCCTGTGGGAGACATGGGCAGAGCACGCAAGCAGGGCAACATTAGAGAGGGATCCCCACTTTGTCAGGGACAAGAACACTTCACAGTTTTGGAGGTAGAAGACTCACTGCAGCTGGACTTCATGACCCCCTGTCAAGGAAGACTCATCCTGAGACATAGAAGGTCTGTCAATGGGTTTACTATGCCCAGAGTTCACTGTGAGACTTTCAGTTAGAAAGTCTAATTTTGGGGTCTCCATTTCCCATCGCTAAAGACAGAAAAGTCCTGTCCCATAAGGGACTTTTTGCTGTTCCACTTATGGCATTTGGAGATCCTGGGACAGAAAGTATCAAGTATTACAGTTTAAACCTGTCGTAAGGGTATGTGGAAGGTGAAAGCCTCTGCTTGTATCCAAAGCCTCTGCTTGATTGTATCCAATCAAGGACCCTTTCGATGCAAAAGGAGATAATAAGGAGGAAAAGATTAAACAGAAGTCCACAGAGACACAAACCTGGTGCACATAAAATAGCAGAGGCAATGCCAAAGACCAAAAGTTTTCAGCCACTAATTGATGGACCATCAAGAATTAGGTGGAGAGGTGCCATGCTGATGCTCAGGAGATCTGTGAATGTGGGTGCTTGTGAACCTAGAAAGCATTGTGTGTGTGCCTTCGCTAGTGAACTTCAAATCTGAGCAGCCCAAGAGAAGAAAGGGGACTCTTCTGCCTATAGTTGTGCTTTATGTGAGTCCTGGCAGCATTACATGTGGGTGCTGCTGAAGGCAGTGACTTGCCTGTGTCAGGCTGTGTAGCCAGCTGTGACAGAGTCCTTTGCTTGCTTGTGTGTTTGTGTCTCTGGGACACAGGCTCTGCTTCACTACTGGTTAAATCTGAAAATGGGAAAGCAGCAGCTTTGTGTGTCTGCAGCTATGTCCATCAGCCTGGGATAGAGACTCCCAGGTCTCTGGGTGCACCAGACTGGGCTCCAGCAGCTGGGTGGGAGGAATCCCTTAGCTCTGGAGCTGCTAGAGCCTGCAGCCACTCTGAACATCCCTTAGCAGCTTTGCTCATTGTTGGTCGACTTCCATTGACTACAGATGGGACATTTAATGTAAAAGGGTTAAGGGCATGGGAAGGCTCTCAAGCCCTTTACTTTGTCTAAAAATAAAAAGGAAACACCATACTCACTTTTTGCCACTCAGTTTTGAGCCATCTTCCCAGACCCAGTCACCATCAGTGCTTTTCTGCAAACCCATCCAGTAGTATTTGGTGTGCATCATCTGGAAGAAGTCCTAGGAGGGACAGAGAGGCAGGGAGAGATCAGTAGACTCAGAGAAACCCAGTTAAGTCCTCGTTTCTGAGAGGGAAATAAAGGGGCCTGTGTGAGGGAGGAAATTTGGGGGTAATTTCTCAATGTCCTTTGAACACCCACGCCCTTCCTTCCTATGAGGACCTGTTCCATGAGATGCAGAGTTTTGGAGTGCCAGACAGCCCCTCGACTGTGGGGTCTGAGGATGAGCCCATGACAAGCTCCGTGGAGGCAGGCAGAGGGAAGAGAGTCCCTCTTGCAAAGGGGTCAAGGGAAAGCCTTGCTTCTGCCGGATGCAGGAAGGCACCGAGTGGGTCCCAGGGCCTTGCAAAGACCCTTTACACTCTCCCTTCCTCACAGCGGGGAAGAGCAGGGCAGTACAGTGCCTTGGACCTGCTGCCCCGTAGTCCTACCATCCTGCCTGCCGAAGGCCCTCTGCCCTTGCCACTGCAAAAGCACTCACCATTTCCCTGGCATCACCGATCACCAGGAGATGAGCTCCCTGCACCCAGCAGGATTCCTGGCTGGAACGCCAGTCCTTCTTCTCCTTGGAGAAGGAGTAGCAGCTCCCTCTGTAGGCTATCCACTGCTCAGGGCAGCGTGGACAGGAACAGCCTGCAAAACAGTCATACATCTCTCTTCCCGTTCATAGTCATAGTTCATCACAAACAGATTTCACAAATACACCCACAGTTACAGTAATGCCACCCTTGGAGCTCTTCTGAGACTTGCAAAGACCATGTAATTACCTGCATCAGAGTCTCTGAGGGGCTCTGTAATGGGCATCCATTTTCCAGATTGGAATAGGTGGGAGAGCAATAGGGGTCTCTTGAGACCTTCCTTTTCCTTCCCAGTGTTTTTACTGTTTCACTTTTCCCCTCCCACTTGTGTTCTGTCTTCTCCATATAAACTTCATCTTTGGCCCATGTTTCCTTCTGTCCAACAGGACAGGCAAAGCCCTTGCACCTGACAGGGTTCTGGCAGGTCACCCATTTCCATACAGCTTCCACTGCTAGCACTGGCTGCTGCTAGGGCACGTTCTGCAGCACATTTCTGAAGTGCTGCTGCTTGGTACAAACACCATTTGCAATTCCTACACTTGCTGGAACCTCAGCTTTGTAGCATTTCATGGCAAGCTGTTCAAAAGCTTTAAACATCCTAGGAACAGGAATAATTTCATAACAGCTGCTAGTCATGGAGGTCTTGCAGTTTGAAGCACCCTCCTTTTTCCTTCCTAACAGGTGAGCAGCTGGTTCTGCTGGCCCATGGATGGCCACTGAACTCCTCAGGGTTCATTCTCTTGCTGTACAGCACAGAAAAGAAATGGACCTTCAAGTTGTGTCCTCCAGCCTACAGCTGTATTCATCAAGATGTGAATGTTCCTGAATGGCTGAGCACTCAACACAGTGTGCTTGCCACACACTGAAAGTCTACCCAGTTGCCCTTTCAAAGGCATCTTTGATATCTTCCACGCCTTACTCTCTTATTCCT